AAAAAAGATCTATCACCTTGTCTTGACAACGATGCAAAGTATTGCCAAAAGGCAAGGGTCTTGTTTTATTCCTGGTGTTTCCGACTAGGATTAGCTTCAAGTCCCTTGTCTTCAACGAGAGCCAAAGGGGCTTTTCTTTTGTTTTCCTAAAAAAGCACTTCATTCTCATCACATCAGACTTATTTTTAGAATATTTGAATAGAATATCTTTAAGTTGTCAGTTGCTACTGTATAAATAGAGGTTGCTAAGGAAGGAACAGTAGCTGCTTCCTTAAGCAACAGTAGCAAAAGAGGATGAAACAGCAGACTAAGAGCAGCAGTTCTCTTCTACTGCAGTATTTAAAAAACGTAGAAATGCCATCCACTTAAGTATTGATACTTTAAGTTAGAAAAATATAGCAAATCTACCTCAAATTGGCACATTTGCTAAAGAGTGTAAGAAGGCATTTTCCCTGCTTCTGAAATTCATCCCCTTCTCATTTTCTAGCTCTTTAGTTTTTCTTTTACACTTGTAGACGTGTTTACTCTCTTTTTTAGGGTTATTTACCTACTTTAGAGCAATCCTAGGAATTCACAACTCGAGGATCTCACATTCAGAACCACATTGAAGAATGCCAGCAAGGCTACAAGTTTCCTGTAGCTGCAGAGAGGATGTACTTAGGTATAACACTGTTATTTAGGGAGAGATTTGTCAGAAAAAGGGTTTGGTTTCTTATTTTTATTTATTTGTTTAGATCTGAACGTTGTCAGACGAGAACACTGGTGCGAAGAATTTGGTTTTGGGGATTAAAGCTCTTTACTGGGGCTTCTACTGCAGCCCACATCTTAGAGGATGGACTCAGTAATTTCGCAGATGGAGATTACCATTGTGCCCATTCTTAAATCACTTTCAGAGCACAAGAGCAGTCCCCTGCACCCAGTCCACTAATGGAGCCACCAGCAGCTGTATAATTTAGAGATGATTATTCTGCTGATGTGATCACTTCAGGAAACTGGCTGCCACACGCTGTTCTGGCTGTAGTCACTAGGGGAAGATATTACAACAGTAGAGCTCCTCTGGGGAAAAAAAAAGGCTTAGTACTTGTCCACACAGGGGACAATTCAGGACGGTTTTATCGGAATTAGCTAGAGATTTGCCGTGTATTAGTTAGAATCATACAAAACCTCTGGGTTTGTATTTATTCAGAATTAAATTGTCCTAATTCAATTAGATTAACTTACTTCCAAATGTTTTACGCAGCTAGTGATAACAGACCAAGAGCAGAAGACACGTAAGGGTATCTAAAATGGTCTGCCAATGCTCTTCCCTTATGCCTCGTGAATATCACATCTCACAGCAGAATGCAGTATCAAGAGCTGACAACTGGAATGGAAGAAATTGAGTTCAAGGACATGATAGGCAGAGAACTAGATGTCACCATCATCTTCAGAAAAAAAGTAGTTGGAGCCTGGGCACTAGCCGGTTATACTGCTTCCAGCTATCATCCAGATCATCAAACATGCCTGGATCATGATATCCTTCTAGGCAAGTGGGAGCTAAGCATTTTTGAAGCTAGCCTTAATGACAGCTATCTTACCACCAACTTGTCTGGAATAGCATTGATCAGACACTGGGGACAGGTTTCATACAGGATATGCTGCGCTTCCTAGGATTCTCTACAGAGAGAGAACAAGCTCCAGGATTGAGCAGGGAACCAAGTACCTAATCCTCTGTGTTGGAAGTGGACTGGGGCTTCATGATGAGGCAAATATAGGCAGTTTAGTATCAAAAGCAAACCTATTAGAGTCATACCTTGGCATGGCAACTCAGAAAGTGCTGAGAAAACAACCAGGCTTATCACACAGTCACACTAGGGCTTCCAATTTCCACCCTGGCAAAAGCATTTCTGGGGTGTTCACAGTTTCCTCTTCCCAGAACACCAGGTCAAGCCTGGAAACCCCAAGGAGCTTTTTCAGCCATCCTGACACAGGAGAGGATGGCAAAAAGTCAACACTGTGTTTTAGTGGAAAGCCCCTGTTGGCCAATAGCAAGAGTAAAGCTTGCACAACCCTAGGCACGCAGCGGAGGTTCGAGTGGGTAGAGAGACTCTGAAGCTTTCCTTTACTTTCCTTTGTGGAAGTCCCTGAAAACCAAAAAGCCTAGAAAGGGGAGGAGAAGGCCAAAAAATGAAGCCATGATAGGTCCCCATTCATTTGGCCTTCCACTTGTCCAAGTGAGAACCGGGCAGCCGCTGGCTCCAGCTGCAGTCGTGCTTGTAGTACACTTCGGGGTGAGGGCGTGGTATCTTGCCTGATCTGCCCAGTTTCTCAAAGGTACTCGACGGGAGATGAAAAGTGCTGGTGTACAGCAGGAAAGTCTGGTGTTGGGGTCGAGTTAGCTGTCAGAGGCACAGCCTGGTGAAAATGCTCTTGGTGTGCTTGGAGGGAGGTGCTGCAGGGCTGAGAGGTCTGGAGGTCTGCTTGCCCTTCCGCCTGCACATGCTCCTGAGCGTCCAAGGCCAAGGCTATGTTTTGATCAAAACAGACTCAGGTTATCTGTTCCTAAAATGTAGTGCACTCTGCTTTCTGCATGACAACCCTCAAATACCAAAATTAGACTTCAGAAGAGTATAAAAAGCTCCCTGCTAACATAATGTGCAAATGGACTGTCGCACTCACTGTGATCTTGGACAGCAACAAAATTAGAAGGCAACAGCAAAAAGCAAAGAAAATTGCAGCTGAAAAATACCAACATTATCCTCTTTTAATACATATTGTTAAAATGAACATTTTTAAAAGCTGAAGAGATGTGAGCCCAGATGCTATCACTGTATGTCTTATGCAGTTCACGATTATGAACAAACAGCAGAATATATATAAGGGAATCTAAAGTGGTATGGATACGAGCCCAGCTGGTGTCCCCATATGCCTTATGAATTCCATTTTTAGGACCACAGCAGCATATAGCATTAGAGATGCTTCTTAAACATCTCATTTATAAATAGAGTGGAGCTGTTTCACTGAAGTACACACAGAAAAGGTCCAGAAGGATCATAAAACCAGCTGCCTTCAAAACCACTGAAATGGTTCAACCACAGTAGTTTAATTAGCAACCACTCTGCACCAGAATATTCCCTGAATGAGGGATGATGCTTGTTTGTCATAGGCTCTTCACTGGGATATTTATTTTTTTTTTTTTTTTTTAAAATCAACCACCAAAAACCCATTTTAGTCAGAAAATGCCAACTTACTCTTGGTTTGGCAAACTGCTCCTACTGAAAGCTTTTTCAGGACCAGAATGGAAGAGCGAAGGCCCAAGCTCCAGGGCAGTGGAGAGGTACAGGTGTGGGAGAGGTAAATTCTTGCCACTTCTGAAAAAAAATCAGTCAAAGTAGGGTCTGGAGCGTGGCCGGTCCACATCCCAGGGAGAGTCCTTCACCAACAGGCTGTGGACTCTTCTGCAATACAGCTCTTCCTCTCCTGCTTTTCAATTTCACCAGAACCACCTCTAAGGAAAGGCAGTTAGCCGCGGGGATTCCTGGTTAATTGTGAAAATGTATCACCAAATGCAGTTGACTTAAAGTCATCATTTAGTTGTATGTACACTATCAACCAAATACATCTAGAGCAGATATCTAAAAAAATACACTACATATGAATGAAAAATTATTTTATTTAAAAATACATTATACAGCAGAGTGTCTCTCTTTTTGTTTTCTCGCTGCTGGTTCACAGAGATAATATGATAAATTTAACCCAAATATTTGAGTGGGAAAGATCCTGAGAGAGAAAGAGACCAGTTACAAGCTGATGATATACAGTACACTAAAAGAGTCATCTCTTTTAACATAAAAGAATCTCTTGGTAATCTTATAAATCAGATATAAAAAATGCAGGTTTGCTACCATGCAAAAATGAGTGAAGATTTCATTTAAATCTGCACACAGAGAAATCATTAGTACCTTGGACCCTAAATAGCTAGACTAAGAGAAGGGTAAGTGTGCCTTACATGGTGATACAAACTTTGGACCTACTACGATTTTGTAAACACAGTTGATAGTCTAATAAAGGTGGATCTTCAATCACCTAAGTAACGTCGTTATAGCTAAGGGCTCTATTCTAGGACTTTTCTCCCCACTGATGTATTTCTTTATTCTCTAATTCTCAGCTTAGCACAAGGACTTCGTGAGATTCGCTCTATCGCACTCAAAGATGACTTGGCCTTGCCCGGTTTGCCAAGCGCTATTTAGGTAGTTGTATTTCAGTGAAAGCAGAGGTTAAAATAAAAAGTAAAAAGCAGGTGCTACCTGGATGACTGTGTGGGAATGCATTAAAATTCATCATAGAAAATACATACCTGATTCTACAGCCTTATATTTCAAACATCTTCTAACAATGATTAATGCACAGGAAATACACTGAATTATGGAAAATTTAAGGCCTAGAATGTTCAACAGCCTGCACTGAACATTACTATTCTCAATGTGTCTACAGCGCTAGCGTTGCATCAGCTGTTGCCAGAGGAAAACTTTCTGGCAGATCTTAAGAGCCTCTTCTCCATCTACAATATTCAGATCCATTTGGTGCTCAATTTTTATAGGACAACTTCACTACGAATAGTCAGCAAGGCTGTCTTTGGAAGGGGAGGCTCAATTTGATTATTCACAGCGATAACAGAGACAGGATAACATTGCCTGATGTTGAAGGAAAATCAATTCGTCAACACCGCACAGACTGACAGAGGATTTTTTTTGCAAGAACATGGCCCTGAAACACAACCGGAGATAGAAAGATTTGTAGAGAGAAAGCGTGCCTCTCCTGGTCACTTAGGCTGAAGAAAATTAATGAAGCCATTTTGTTTTTTCCATGAGTGCTGCAACATGAAAATGGAGAGTAGAAACTCACATGCACTTTTCTCACTAAGCCAGTGACCCTCTTCTTACCTTAGCACCCATTCTCCCAGCATAATATCAGGTTGTACAACAAAGATGAGAAGATGCAGGCTTCCTTGAATAATTTGTTTCAACGATTTATGAGTGGCACGGCTTCCCATCACATATGCTGAGCTACGAATGGAGCCCTTAACGCTTCATGGGATATCATTAGTAATAAAGAATATATCAATGATCAAACTTTCTATATTATTTTCATTTCTTTTAACCTAGATACATATATATCATCCAAGACATCCAAGAACTACAAAACAACAATTCAACTACAATTATGTCAGGAAAATATCCAAATAAATAAACTTTTAATTATGATACAATACTTATTACAGTAAAAATTGGCATTTTTTTTCTCTTCAAAAGCAGAAGCACCAGTCTTACATATAACATACTGTTTGAATGATATCTTACATGGAATACAGCGTAATACAATGTGCAAACAGCATTTTCATACAGAACGTAATATTTGTCTAGTTTTTATACACTGAAATCTCCTCAAATGGAAACAAGTTCATGCTGAATTAAAAATGTAGATTTTAAAAACCAAAGTCAAATCAAAATATGAAGTACTGTTGGAATAGGTACATGAACCATTAAAAACAATGAGAAGCCAAAATAGAGGGTATTGTCAGACAAATATAATTAGTGCTCAGTTCATCCCATTCCATCAAAAAGTAAACAGTTAATATTTTTGCTAGAAAGTAAAGTGACCTTCTAATATTTAAGAATTCTTCAAAATGTTGGTATCATTTTAATGATGTAAAAATCAAGTCAGAAATAGGACTTCTAAAAATTTCTTATTTTTAATACACTGCAATTATCGTGTGTGGGCTGTGAAAAGAGATGAAGTCCAATGGAGTGAATACACATCAGCGTCAACATCATGTGACTTCTGCAAAGGCCGTGATGTGGTTCTACGAGTCAAAGGAAAAACAAACAGATAAAAACCCAGAAACCACACAAATAGACATCAGTCGCCACTGCGAAAACTTCTGCCTCTTGTGCTTTAGGGACAGCCTTATGCTTGGAGACTACTGAAGGATGATGTAAATAAAGCTGGTTTTCACTGCAGTGCTCTCACTCACTCCCATAGCAATTCTTTGTTAACCGCCAAAAGACTGGATATGTAAGTACGCTGAACAAAGTAATTAGGTGCGGTGGTTCTAAAATATTTTCATTTTAGATGGGGTTTTTAAAGTTAAGTAACAATGTGAATAATTGAGTTAGCTGTATTTTTATTGCTACCTTATTCATAATTTAAAGCAAAATTCCTAGAAATTAAAATGACAGTTTCTGACAGATTATAATATTCTATTTCAGTCTTAATACAATTTTAATGTTACCTTTTTTTTCTAGATTAATTGCTCCCCATGAGCTCGATGGCACAGAATCAAGCAGCGAAATGCTACAACAAAATGGCATTCAGCAGTTGAGAACTCATATTCAAAATTTCTTTTTCAGAATCACTACAGTGTCCTCTTCATTTGCAACGTTATTCTCCTCTTTCCTTCCACAGGACGATTCTTACGAAGACATGTATCGGAACATGAATATACTACATGTGACTCTACGCAGTAAAACCACAGCATCCCAAAGAGCTTTGCTACTTTTTCATGCTCTAACCTAAGCAAGTGCCTCTGCAAACATTTGGTAGGTGAACACTCAACTGCACAGTGATGTGCAGGACCCAAAGGAACGGTACGTTCCCTTTAGGCACACAGTACCCTTGACTGCCACCAGTTTTTATAAAACATGCAATGTGTAAAATTAATAAAGGGAATCTTGATGTTAAGCCATGTGTTTGTTCCCCAGCACAAAAAAGCACAGAGGGAAATAATACCATGCAAAGCACTGCAGATTTCTCTTGTCACCTCCCCTCCTGGAGCAGACCAAAGTCAGAAGAGAGGAGGTGTAAGCTGAAGAGGAGGGGGATGTAGATAACTCATGGAGAGTGCGATAGATCTCCCTTTTTTTTTGCTTAAGGGAAGCTGTTCTAAATCCTTCAGAAAATCCCTTATCACGCACCATAGAAAGGGCTGGAGAGAAACGGTGGCCACCACACAAGTTTGTATTTCTCAGTTCTTCTTTAAACCGTCTGGATATTTGTCTATCAGTCCGTGCGGGGGGAGGCAGGCAGGCATCTTTGATTTTCACATTACAGAAAGGAATTTAGAAGTACCCTGAGTAGGAGCACAGGAGAGCTGCCTCTTATTCCCCCCTCTCCAAACAAGGCTGGCAGCTTTGGTCCCTCTCTCGCTGTGCCGTAACTGTACTGTGTCCAGGAGAAGGAGGAGCTCTCTTCCCCCTCCCCTATAACATGCATTTTAGCTCTAGCAATGGTCTTGCTGTATTTTATGACAGCTTTCATAAGAGAACACCACCAAACAGTAAGCATCTATGTACATTCTTCTCCAAAATAGAATGAATACATTTTAAAGAAATAACAATTATTAAACCATAGCCAGCAGATTTTTTAAAAAGCATTAGGAAAAAAAAGAATCGGTGTGCAACTTTCTGTGAAAATGTTTTCAGTAAACAATATTAGCAAATGTCATTGTTTCCAGATTTTGATTCTGCAGAAGAAAAGCAAAATTAGATCTCCTAATTGGAAAACAAAGCATTAACATTTTGAAGCATTTTAGTTGGCTGGCCATCTTGTGCTTTGAGTACAGGAAAGACGATACACTGGGCAACCTCAATGACTCTGGAGTTGCCGTGCAGCTATTACGACATTTTCTTCACAGTATTTACTTTATTTTTCCTTATTTAGACCTGAAGATTATCCTGTCAACTTAAACTAGCACCAGTCTAAAATTCTTCACTCTGTTGATAAGTGAGATGGTTTAAAAATGAGGAATTAAAGGAAAAAGAATTCCTCGTTATTTATTCTAATCAATTCTTTCAAGTCCTGCTACGTGCTATCCCCTTCTCTAAGCGACACACATTTGCCTGTGAGGCAGAGAACCAAATGCTCTTTCATGTGGCATTAATTCAGGACTGGATAACTATTACTTAGGAAAAGGGAATGTGGCTCACACTCCTGCCAGCTACACTTCCAAAATGAGCAGGTCACCATCCTTGGAAGGACGTGCAGAGCATGGGATATAATAACACAGAAGAAAATCCCCCTTCCTCAATAAACCCTCAGAGAGAACTGCTAAGCTACCCATCGCTGAGCTATTGATTTGGACCCTAGCAAAGACTTGTCAATTCGTTTCCAATGGACTCAGCAGGATGATGCCTAACTAGGTCAAAATTAATCACTCGCTGATGGCAAGAATCACTGATACAGATTCATGCAACTGCCTAGGTATTCACGCTTTTTCATATGTTATCGTCTCAGGCAAAACTACGAATAAGCCTTGCTGAGACTTTACAGAAAAAAATAAACAAACAGCATCCCTCTTGAATAACTGCATTTCAACTCGCTTACTATGCTCTTTTACTTCTGCTTAGATTTACTGTTATAAAAGTTCAGTGAGAGATACTAACCACTGTCAGCAAACAGATTCACACAGATGCAGGAGACAAGCAAAAAAACCATGCACAATTCTCCAGCCCCATGGGAAATGATGTTCCCTACAGTACTCAAAAGAATTAGAATATGCTGAGGGTCTGCTCAACGGCAGCAGTTTCACAGACAGGCATGCCAGTTTTTGTATTATTGATTCTAAATTGACAGTATCAGCTTGGTGTCAGCACCACGTGAACAAGGCATGCTTCACAACCACGCTCTCACACCACCAACAGAAAAATGAAAGCTAAAGGCTAAGCCTTGAGTGCAGGTTTCTGGGGGGAAACGATCCATACCTGTATATCTTCTGTTAAGATTTTAATTAATTTCTGTTTATAAGCAATTCTATGTTAAAGCATTGAAAAAAATCCATGACAACTTTTCTGTGGTTTGCAGTTTTCATTATATATATGAAATATTTTTACCCAAAATATTTTTGTTCTCCTCTCATCAATACAGTTAGAAATATTAAAAAATAGTCATCATCCTAAAAAAGATTTTTCCATTTTTGAAAACAGGAATTTGAAAAATTGTCTGTAGTCCTTCACACAGTGGAGTTTGTTAAAAGAAATAGACAAATACTACTGTAGTAGTTCAGACAAATGATAATTTATCATACAATAATAATAATGTTATCATACAATTCTCTGGGTCAGCAAAGTATATTTTATGCTTTTACTGTACGAATCACGTTTTTAGAGAAAAGAATGAGTTCAAGTGAAATTCTCTATTTAAAACATTGCAGACCTGCACAGAACGCTGCCGCCACACCACATCTGCGTTTGCTTCAATTCCACACACAAACACTCACGTGCGCTCTTGCACACATACATTTATTGCCTTATATGAAGATGTTCAAAACGATCCATTCCTGATATCCAGGAGAAGAACCTAATGGCGTGTGCTTTGAGGGAGTTTCGTTGCAAAGGATCTTCTTGACTGTTACTAATACCTTGATTCTGTAACACCTACAATACGTACACATTTGAGGAGGTCACACTGAATATATTGTTCCACTTCCTATGTTTAAGTATTATTTTATTTGAATGTTAGATGTGGTGATCACACTTTGCATTCAGACAGAAATAATTCTTGTGCAATCCCCCAGAAGTAGATTTAAGCAGAAGAGTAGGACGTGAATGCAAATTCAAATGCTTGACATTGAAACAAAATTGCGTATGGTCTTTTATGAGCTGCCTCTCCTGGGTATGTGTTTCTGAGTGCAAAACAATGTTGTATTATATCTCCTTTAACATACTGCATTATCAAGAGAGAACCATTATGACAACAGAAATCTGAAAACCTGCCTATAAGCTAATGTAAGCACGTGGACTCTAGTCGAGCCATCCTGGAGATACACACACGTACTAAAACACTGTATGGATACCTATGTACACTTTTGGACATCAAGCGCAACAGTATTTGGATGCTTCTCAACTAAAATATTTTGAAGCAACAGAAATAGACATAAACCCTCTCCCCCATTTGCCCATAGTATGAGGAGCTGAAACATCTTTGCATTTTGCGTTTAGCCTGTGAGCTCAGTGATAGGCGATCAGTCTCCCTGGAGAGCCCCAGGGACCAGACCAGATCCCCTAGGCCACGCTGTGTGTACCCAAGTGCACATACCAACAAAAGACTTCTTACTACCAAAATGCTTAAAGACCAAGGAAAAAGCAGTAACACTGAGAATTAAAATTAAAAATACCCTTTTCTGACACTGCAAAGAAGCTGTTCTATGTCTCGTGAATAATCAAGACGGAGTAAATAGAAAAAACATTATACATTAAAAACAGAAGGGGAAAGCTTCCCCAGTCTTAAAAACCTATCAGAATTCATTGCAATATCTATACTTACTATTGTTAAAATGTTTTATCACCACCATTACCTTTGGCACATACACAAGAGAACAAGAATTATAGTGTCAAACTCAACAAGATTTTCGAGACAATTAACCCTGATAGTCACTAGCAATTGGTATGATAGGCAACAAGAATGTCACATACTGTTAGAGGAATTCCAAATACTTATCACCATTAAAACTTAGAAATGGCTGTGTCAGAGACAAAGAGTCGGGGGAGAGGAGAGAGAGCCTAAACTATCTGTTTCTAGTTCACAGTCGTGCTGGAGAGTCAGTCCTATGGGTGGAGTATAAGAAACCTCATTGTAACAAGGAACGGTGACTGTGTTTGGGAACATGGTTTGGTCATTGCTGACAGAAGTAGCACTATGAAGGAATGCCAAGCATAGAATCATAGAATAGTTTGGGTTGGAAGGGACCTCTAAAGGTCATCTAGTCCAACCCCCCCGCCGTGGGCAGGGACATCTTCAACTAGAGCAGGTTGCTCAGAGCCCCGTCCAACCTGACCTGGAATGTTTCCAGGGATGGGGCATCCACCACCTCTCTGGGCAACCTGTGCCAGCAGAGACTTTGGGGATGAATGCAGCTTAGCTGTCAAACAGAGCACTGCAAAGAACCCACTGTGCAAATAAGTAATATTGAACAGCTACAGAAAGCACTGATGATCAGACACGGTGATCAACTCATCCCACAGGAGATGAACCATAGTGCCTCTCCTAACCCAACACTTCTTTCTAAAACCTCTTACCTCAGTATTCTATCTATTACCTCAACTAGTCCTAAAATGCTCCATGTTCCCTTTGTATTTGATTTTTTCAAGGCTAGAATACTTATTTTTTTAAAAAAAAAAAAAGGCTACGAGAGTCAGCAGCTACTACAAGACGTGTCCGAGCCCTCTGTAAGCCCTGCCCAATTTCAAGTGACTTTAGCATGAAATAATGTCAGTCTTCCCTGAAACAGAAAACAGAAGAAATAGCTTGTGACTGCACTGGATGAAGCTGAACTTTAAACTCTTCCAGGTACCACCCAGAATACCCCTATTTCCCAGTAACTCTCATAAAAGGAGCGTCTAACCTTGACTGTGGTAGGAAGAGAGCCTCCTCTCTGTAGGAGAGTGCCAGCTAACTGAAACATGAATTGTCTTGCAAGAGATGAAGAAGGTCAGAGACAGGAGAGAAAAAGGAGCAGATGGGTGAGTGATGAGGTTTCTTGGCTTTCATTCTTTTCATTAATTCTGAGGATGAATGTAGTTAAGGTGAAAGCAATATAAGTCTGCACTGCTGAGCCAGCCCTGGCAAGGATTCTTCAAGGAGACACTCTGCAGCTACAGCTTATTTGAGTGCATGAGAAGTGGGTACCTGTGCAGAACAGCTTAATCATCTGCATGCACCACAATTAAACAGAAGTGTCATGCAAACGGTGATCTACTCTTGTCATTCACCAGCAGCAGCTCAATTTAGAGTATTACAAGTACACATATTCCTGTTTAAGTACACTTCAAATGTAGCTCTTGACCTCCACCAGAGCATCCGCAGTGGCAGAAAGCATGCCAAGCATGCCAAGAGCATTCGGGAAAGAGCACTGGAATAGCAAGTAGCAGATCTGGAAACACAAAAATAAGGTGCTTCCAGGTCGGTGTGATGCACCATGTGCTTATTCATTTACGGGTGAATTCATAACAAAATTGCAGTAAGTGAGGTCCCATCTGGTAGGCATTTCTAATGAAGTCGTTCTTTAAGACAGCATCTTTGAATTGCTCGCTCCCAGATGCCCATACAGTTATTATTTTTAAATACCGATAACAGAGTTGCATTGCTTCGTGCTAGCACTGCCTTAGCCCATGATAACTTCAGTCAGTCAGGATTTGTGCTACTCTTAGTAGCTAATTTCTGACAGTAAGCTATCTTTAATACTGGCACAGGAGCTTGCAGACTGAGAATAAGGAAAAACAGATGTAAAATAAGCCAAATGTAAATGTATGTGCATTCAGAATATGGAACTGGAACAGCCCTAACTGAAATGTAGTGAAAAGCGCCTTTGCCTATTTTATCCATGTGCAAGTTAAGTAGCACACAAATTATTTAGCACCCCTCTCTCTCCAGAGGAGAACAAAGGATGTAAAATAAGAAGGGAGTTAAAAAGCAAGGACTAAGTTAATAATTCTTGTAGTGATGGTAGTTAATTGAGACAGCTCAATTTAGACCTTAGTTCCATGTAAGTACTATTCTTAGTGCCTTTTATTTAACAGGATCTGGCTTCTACCTAAAACTTTTGACTAAACATTAAATAAAAAGAAAAAATCCACAAAAACTCAACACCTAAAGCACTCACGTGTAAGTAACTTTTTCATCAATTATTTGCTAATTCAAATTTAAACTTTCTGAGAGTGGAAACAGAAGAAAGCATTTCCCAACAAATAGCAAAGTCTCCACATTATCATCCTCCCATCTCATCCTCTCTGTCTGGAAAGGAGAAAGGCTTTGCAGCACAGACAAAGATGAACCCATACACTGAGATCTCACCAAGTGTAACACCCTGCGGACAGTCCCCAATTTAATTATCTAGGGAGAAGTTCCATGACAGCAAACAGCTACCCTCTACTGCCATAGGAATACGGGTTCAGAAGGAAGGAAGCTCATTCATATAACAGAGTCCTGGGCAGTTCACAAATGGTAGAGGTCATCCTCAAGCAGAGCAAACATTATTCCTGCCACCACCCTTCTACACTCTCCCATAGCTTTCCCCACAACATCGCAACCTTGCCTAGGCCACATCTCAGGAAAAGAACATTGTTCGTCATGAGTGGGAGGGTGTCAAATCAGGTAGAAACACTAAGTTAACATGGTCTTTATCCCCAGGAAAAAAAAAAAAAAATTCAACAGCCAGAGAATATACATTTATTACCTATGATGGCTTTTGAGCCGCAGAAATAGCTTCTATTGCAGGAAAGCTTAGCACGTAAATAAGACATGCTCTTATTAATGTGGTATGTCCTTGGCCAAGTGACATCTTATTTTGTTTTGACATTTTACAGAAAGTTTACTGAATGGATTATTTTGAAGATACACGTTCATCATCTAAATGCTTGTTCAAGCAAATGAGACTCTGACCTCCTTATGACAAGATATCAGCAGAAGTAGCTTAGACATATTTGGTTCAAAAAGGCATGTTAGATCATTCTGAAAAGAAATCTTCTTTCCCTTCAAGGAAAGAAATAACAAACCCAGGGGTAGCAGCAATTCTTACTAAAGGACAAATTCCACCACTTCCAAGTAACTAAGACAGACCGGGAAGTGGTTAAAAACATTTCCTCTTTTGTTTCATATGAAAAAATATCAGGAGTAATTTGGATTTAAAAGAATGCCATAGAAACATACTTTGTTGCCCTACCAAGTGTAGAATTGTTTACTATCTTCAAACATGGGCAGAACACATGAGATTTTAATAAATAATGACAGATACAGTCATTAGAAAAAGTAGAATTGCTTTCAAACTTTGCATTAGTAGTTCAAACTTTCCCCCTGGTAAAAACGCCTACAATGTTTTCTTTATTTGGTTATGCTATCTATTTCAATGCTTGTTTGCTCATAAAATTGTTCAGACATAGTCTTACCTAACACTTACATAGTACATCATCATCTTCAAAAAACCCAGATTTTTATTACAGGAAACTAAACGAAATTTTAAACACATCGCGATACTTACTCATGCAAAAAGTCTTGGCTAGACTATCACTAGCATGTCCCAGTCCAAAATCCCATTTGCTTTGGCAAAAGATCATGGCTTTTGTGCAGTTACTCTATAACCCATGTTACTCTCTATTATTATCACATTCATTAAGTTGTTTGCCCTGCTAGCGCAGATGTCAAATCCCCAGCGTTTCCAAGCGGGTGCCCTGTCCTGGAGCTAGCACGTGCCTGATGATGAGCCCCACAGCTGATCCAGAAGGGGCTGCATCCCATGTTCTACACTAGCCTGGGGACATACCCCGAAGAAATAGGATAAATGCCACTTGTACCTGAATTGCATAACCCCTTGGCCTCAGGGGTTAGATTTTCTTTGTAAACACTTCAAGCTCTGTGGACTCTCAGCCAAAGCGTTAATCAAACTTACTTGAGGAACACAAGGAAAGAGGGCCGCCGATCTACTCAGCCTGACTCCATGGACTTAGCAGTGGCTACAGCAGTAAACTGGAGTGATATGTAGCAATTGTTCTTGGAGGTGACATGAAGAGTCTCCCAAGGAGTGTCTCTGAATTAATTCTTCCCTTCTTTCTCTGTCACTGCCATGTCTCTTTACTTTATATCTGACTACCTTGGCACCCTTGTCAATATAGTTTGGGATCATCCTTCCAGGAAAGTTATATTTTATTTAATTGTTTTTTAAAAAGTCAGACATTACCTTTTCTAAAGGGCTTTCTACTCGGGGTATGCTGATCATGGGCATCTGGGCCAGATTATCCATATGAGAATGTTCATGTTCTGGCTGACGTCCTCTGAAGTTATTTACCACACAAACAACCTAGAAGGGATTAGAAGATAAACAGAATAGCTAAGGTACAACTCATTTTTTTTGAGCTTTGATCTAACATCCATAATTAGGCAGAACTGACACCAGTTTTGGTCACAGCTTACAGCAGAAACACAGAAATGTGAAGTTCATGTTTTACAGAAAATCCTTAATTAATATTTCAAGACAAAAGACTTTCAACCAATTTATTGTTACATTCATCATCTGAGAACCAGAAAACCCTCTTATCTAAAAGCCAATCCATTACCAAAGCTAAATAATAGAATACCAGTTATTAGCAATGTCATGAATAGATGTCCAGAGCACGTGCAGCAGAATATGGCAATAACCTTACAATCCTGTGAAGGGCCAGTACCATCTAAGTTTTGACCAGCAAAGACTTTCTCAAATGGAGAGTGAGAAAGGGAGAATAAGAGGGAAAGGATCATCCCCAAGTTTGAACTAAACTCTAAACCTGCTCAGGGCAGCAGTGACTCTCACACGGGAATTTAGGAATGTGATATACACCAGTTTGTTAGTGATTCTACTAATTCAGACACTCAGCCGAGCAGCAATGTTTGCCCACCAGATTTTCTCCAAAACACAACTAAATTTGATGCCATGCTACTCAAAGGAGTTTATGCAATATACATCACAAAATACAAGAAAAAATGTTGGGACAGATTTCTTTTGTATTCTGTTGTCTTTTACGACTTTAGGGGCACAAACAGAATGGGAAAACTTCTTAAAAATGAACAACCAAATATAACTCCCGGACACCTTGTGTGGAAGGGAATGTTTGGAAGTGCGAGCAATGTTTTAAAGAAGACCTAAAGCCACCCTCACATTTCTCAGAGGAGTGAAAACACCCACCTCAGCCATCCCTGTGCGAGCTCTCAGCCAAGCCAAGTCTTCAGATCCAAGATCTTGAGATCAAGACCTTGAGATCCAAGAATCAAGCTCAAAAGTGTTTTCACGGGGAAAAAATTCAAAGGTGTATTTAGTACTACTACAAGCTGCCAGGCAGACAAACTTGCAGGCAGTAAAGAGCAGTGACTATTCTATGCCATAGTCTTGCACTGAAGTTATCGGTGAAGGTGATTAATAGATTAGCGGCACCTTTCTGACACAGACTCTAGTCATTGTGAACTGTGACTAACGGTCTGGTTTTGGAACACAGTTCCAGAAAAGGAAAAGGCTAAACAAGGATTTTTTTGATACAGAAAAACATCAAATTTCAATGTAAACCTGAATTAGCATGAAAGAGACTCAGTAGGGCTACTTCAAAGCCAGAAAAGAAATGCTACTTATTCTCCAATCAGTGTTAGGTATCACTAAACTGAATTTAATACTTTATACATGAAATCATAACTAGATGTTATGCTGAAGGATATACACTTGCTTAAAGTGGCGCTTGATGCAAAAATTATTGGTTGAAATGCTACAATCTGGTTTATAAGGAAGTCAAAAGACATAATTTGATCAGTCCTTTCTTGACTTCACATTTCTGAGTGTATGTAAATATAACTAAGGAAACTGATAATTAATTAAAAACAAAAATTAGAAACACCTCTTTTGTCATTTAGTTGTCTGAAAAGTCAAGACTACCAATATTTTTTTAAGAGATACAAAGTTATACACTGATTTTTTCAAACAGAAGTGACACAGATAGACACTTACCAAAAATACTGCTATAGATATTCCGATTATAAATCCTGCTATTACATCTGACCAGTGATTTCGATACTCTGCTACTCTGTTGATTCCAGTAAGGAAAGCCAAGCACATTAAGCCCAAACACAGAACAGGTTTTGCAAGCCTTGTTCCTCTGGCTTTTACTGTGTTGGTGATATACATCTGAAAATTAGAAAGGAAGACAGTGTAAGACTGATGGATATCTCCCACTAATTCATGAATAAAATCTCTACGTTTTCTTTGAATAGACTATGTGTATTTGGCTTTTTTTTTTTTTTTTGGTAAAGAAACAAGAAAGTAGAGCGCTAAATAAAGTCATCACACCCTTTTCCTAGGGATACAGAAAATGAACTGGACCATATAGCAAAATTACATTTTATGTGAACCTGAAAAGCCCCCAAAAGAACAAGTTAGACAATCCTATCCTATTACTCCCAATCTATGTATTTATTTATGCAGAAAGGTAAAGAGACTGATTTTTCACTGCACAGTGTTGACAATAATAGAAAAAGATCTTTACCCTAAAAGGGGCTACATCAAGGGCTTGTTTTTATTAGCAAATGCCTTTCTTCCTCATACACAACTTCTTCATGCGATTAAGTAGAGATTTGTCAAAAAGCAGTGAAAGTTGAACTAAATGCCAGCATCTACTTTTATAAATAATGTGTAATAGTTTCAACCAGTGCTGAACCAATACACCCCTGTACTTCACAGATGGTGACTGAGGATGTTTAGTACCAATCCCCCGCAGCACACAATCCAATCTAAATGCAGAAACTTTCATGCATCAAACTCGGAGAAATCAATCCGCCCTGCTTGCAGTCTAACTCTCCCTGTGCAATACTACTGAATTAAAAGCACTGCTTGATGACAGAGCAGCTCTTCTGCCCTAAGGGTGTATTAGTGACTATTAGGTTTAAGCCAGCACTTTCCAAGCTCTCATGGGCCAGTGGAAGAAATTAATACCAAATCTTTGAATTTCCATTCTCTTGAATCTTGGCATTAAGGCTGCTTGAAAGTTCCTCCCTGAAAAATTATACTTCAACTAACAAGATTTTTGAGAAAGAAGTATTTACTTTCTGCAGATGTTGTTTCTGCAATTAAACCATTGAAATCCCTAAAACCTTCACATTCAGACGGAGTTGAAGTTTTAGATTGAAGAATGCAAGTATTTTCTACGGAGTTTCACTAGAGACTCCAAGTGTGTAATACCACCACTTTGAACTGCAAAGGGAAACGGATGACTCTGCGTTGAAGAACCAGTACCTTTTTGGCCAACAAATGGGCAGTCCTTTGTTTTTTTGGTAGTGTCTGAAACTTCAGCTGAATTCACTGGGTAATCAGTTATGAAGTGCTGCAATGATCCAGTCAAGAAGTAGTTTAGGAAGCATTAGTTACAGTAATGATAAATTAAGTGAAGGAAGTAGCAGTCAGAGCTTGTCTGAAAAGAGCAACATCTGACAGTAATTTTGTTCGAAACACTAGAGAAAGATCCATGGCTTAGAGGATGAATCAAAGCTTAAGCTTAAAATCACAGCAGAAGTACCTCTTCAGTGTACCTTACGTGATGAACAGCAAACTAGTAGCAAGCCTTCAACTAATGCAGACAGAGCAAAGGTTTGAAAAAAAGAGTTTTGGGGTGTATCTCCAAACCACATTTCTCCTCTCTTCTTCCTAGACCATTTCAGAAATAGCGTTTCTCCCTTTGCTGACTATCCTTTTATCTTAGCTCCTTATATTTTTTGCAGGCTCTCTTCAGTGAGATACTCTTACTGTGTGGAATGCTGATAAGACAACTGCAACTTTTATTTCCAGCTTTTTAGCCCCACTGGTTTTCTTCAAGCTACAGACAGAGCAGTGCATGCTGAATTACTCAGCAACCCTCTACCTTAGTGAGTCTCATTGTACTCTGGATACTGCCACCGTTATCCACAATCACGCTACATGTTAGAACACCTGGTGCTAGGGAAAATATCCTAATATTTTGAATACGCAGCAAGATCACCCAATTTCAAATACAGCTTGGGTGAAGTTGGCACGGGGAAGTCGGCAGGAAGCTATCCTGCATTTAATTCTGTATTGTGGCATATTAAATCAGAATGACTACTGAGAAGGAAAAATCTGCGCAGCTTGTTTAAGGCAGGTCTCGGTGCTATATTTCCGTTATCTATAACACCTGGTCATCGCCCAAGAAGATGATCTCAATTTTTATGAAGTCAAAACACATTATAATACAAATAGTTGATTCTGCAGTACTTCAGTCAAACTTCAACATTTTTAATACAAAGCTAAACTGAAAAGTGCTCTGCAGAAAATTCTCAGAATCTTTTTACAACCAAGCACGTCCTTCAAATCCCTGCTCAGACAAAGCACTGAGTGAGCAGAAACAACTGCAGACTCATGCTTGTGCCTCACATGAGTAACAAAGACCTCCATTTGCCGAGTCCCTTCCTATATGTGCAGTCAAGATTGTCACGCCCAGTCCATTATTCAAAATAACCTGAGAGTTCTGCCAGTATAGGTGCCATTTCCATCTTTTCTTTAAAGAACAGACACCACTGATGTTGAGAATAGTATTATATTAAAATATTATTAAAGAATTAATAGAAACAGGGTAAACTTTTCCTGAAACAGTGTAGCGAAGAGTCTGTATATTTGCAAAACTCTATGTAGCAAATGTAGACTCTTCCAAGGCAGGACTCGTAGATGTCCATTTTTAAACTTGACCTCTTACAGCTCTAGTACAATATTTTAACACAGTCAACTCAGTCAAAGATCTGATTTGCACTAAGAATAAAATATAATTAACCAGTTGTTTTCTTCCTGATTCTGGAAGGAAAGCTATAAACGAGCACAGTCAGTAATTGACAAAGAATAAACATCTCAAAAAGATGACAGGATTTTTCTTCTCTTACTTTTCATAAATGTTAAATGCAGTATCAACACAGGAAAATAGTTCAGTGATTTAGAACATTAGTGAGAATGAATGACAATATACATTTTTACATGGCTAAAGATGTTTACTGAACAAGCCCATCTCAGTACCTTTTAAAAACAGAAATTGGGAGAGGAGGAATCTAATTAAAGAAATCTTTTAAATTAGTCAACAGCAAGACCAACAGCAGAGCTTTTGTACATAAGGTCAAAGATTGATACAGTAGTTAGAATTAATTTTGCGGGCTGCACACTCTCCTGCAACATCAGATCAGCGGTGAATCTTCTCTTGAAGAACTTCTGCTATTGCTTTTCCTTTTTCCTGAAATAAGATTTTAGTATGAAAAGATATAAAGGTGATACCAGCAAGTAGACGCTGGCAGAGTCATATAAAGAGGTGGATGTTATCCGATTGTTCTATATACCAATATTTACTAGATTTTCAGGAAAACACAAACATTTGACCTTCAGTCTTAAGGATGCTGGAAGTAAAGTCTTCAGGGAACCTCATAAACTGAAAGAAAAACTTTAATTGAAGTGGTTTCAAAAAATCTGTATTTGAAAGAGTCAGAATCATCACCATCGCCGCCAAAGACAAAGCTACCTGTGAATTTCTGTCATGAGAGAAAGTTCACTTAGGGACATGGTTTAGTGGGCATGGTGGCGTTGGGTTGACGGTTGGACTCGATCTTAGAGGTCTTTTCCAACCTTAATGATTCTATGATTCTATGACTGTCTCAGGTCATGATATAAGGAATACTCATAGTGCTGGCACTTAGCTTGTACTGGGAAAGCTTTCAAAAGTGTCATGTTGCAAGTCTGACTCATGTGAAAGATGTCCTAAATCTAGTGCAAACAAAATCATTCCAAAACATCTAAGAGAAGAACAGGAATTGTATGTCAAGTGCAGGACAAAGTGGCCTGCTGGGCTATGCTGCAAGTCTTCCTAGTCGTCTTCTTTCAGCTATCTTTAGGCTCACCCACACAAACGTCTATGTGCACAAACACACACATAACAAGTCCCAGAGTCCCATTTTAGTTAGAGCGGAGCTAGTCATCAGGCTGGGTGCACCAGCCAGGAGGGAGGTTAATTTTCCTAGCTGATTTCATCAGCCTGGGGCCCAGGGATGCGGGTAGGAAGATCCCCTCTGTGCTCGCTGTTTCAGTCCTCCCTGAAGCAGATGGTCTGGGGGACTGACAAAGAGACAGACCAGTCCATTAGTGGGCAGAGAATGACGACTCACGAAGCAACAAGCAGAAAGAGGAAGGAGTCGCTGTACAGGCACCTATCCCAGGCAGCACTCCAAATATAAGTTATCTCATGTTTTGTTTTGCTTTTATAACGTGCTATCGCTAAAGAAAGAATCTTGAACTATTTAAGTAATATAAGTAATGTTATAGATGTTCCACCCGAGGAATGCGCAACTTTCAATATTCATCATACCTACAAAAAAAAAAAAGAAAAAAAAAGATACTCAGGAATCAAAAAGCTGAAAAAGTAGCGGGCTACAGTGGACGGTAGTCTGTGAAAGGTTCAATGTTTAGTTCGAATCCTGTTTGACAATCTAAAAGCTCTTCAGCTTCCTTGATTAATAATTATTGGGTCAAATTATTTCTAGAGCAAACCACAGTCGTATTCTCAAATCATCTGGGCCTTTCTGCAACTGCCCACTGAAGATTTTTTTAGTGCTTTTGAAGCCTCCTCCAGCTTTTTCCATAGGTTTTGCAGTAATTATTGATGACCCTAGACAAAAATTGGCTTTAAAAGTCAGGGGTCTGGGTTGGCAAAAGGAAGAGAAAGCTCTAGAAATGCTGGACCTTACTATTAAGTGTCCCACTAGGAGCTCCCCACAGTTGTAACTCTAAACAACTGGAGAAGGAAAGAGGTATCCTTCAATGTACCAGGACTGTAAGATACACCCAAATATTAATTAAAGTTGATTCAGTCTACAGAGGTCATTATCTTGAGCAATTGCATTGTAATGAAGAACTGACCGACAAGAAATATCTAGAGGTCTTTAGATAAATCCCTAGATCAAATTGTAATGTTATTTTACTATCCAGCCTGAAAGTAACTAATACACCCAATATATGAAGCTCATGATACATGCTGTACAATCAGTATGAAGGGATACTTTTACTTGCTGCACCAGACACTGAAAAGAAATTCCCCTTTCCTAACACTGCCTCTGAAAAGCAGCCAAAAGAATCCTTTAATTCTTCAATTTCCTAACAAAAAATGGACAACAAAGCCAACTCAATAAGGTGGCTCTGCTACTGCTTTTCCTCCTGAACACTCCCTAAAGCCTATCAAAGAGAGGCCTGTCACATCTCCACCAGCTGCTCATTGAGCAGGAGCCAAACAGGCACTTCAAGATGAAGGAGAGGTGAGACGAGGCCTACGCCTAAAGTCTGGATCAAGGAGTGACACTGAGCAGAATGCCACCATGTTGCCAGCACTGTGACCCAGACCGCCTTGCTGTCTTTTCTCAGTGACTTATAAACACAGTAAACAGAGAAGACGATTCAGCAGAACGCCAGGAGCAAGAAACTTGCAGAAAAGATCATCACGGGCCCAACAAAAGCTCTGCAGAGAGGAAAAAATTGTCAGCTTTACCTGCTAGCCCTGCTTGAGGTCGTAGTTGAGGCCAAGGGTTCACAGTACAAAGCAACAAAAGCAGCCTATAGACCTAAGGCCTATGTCAATTATCAAGACATTAAACCTACTCCTCTAACATTACAAATCTAAAGCAAGTCTGAAATGTATGCGGTAACACCAAGTCCAAACACTACCCTACAGACAGGTTGGCTGCCAGCTGCTCTTGTCCAATGCAATGAGAATAAAACAACGAAAAAGCAAAATTTTTATAGAATGAATTAAAATTTGTCTTAAAGTACAACTAGCAATGACCAATCCCCTAGGTCTGCAGCACCAAAGGACAACTGTTAGTCACAAGCCTCATCTTTAAATCCATGGGAATAGACTGACTAAATCTTCCTATATCCCTTCAAAATCCTACCAAAAAAAAGACTCATGACTTCTCGTTTCTGTGTCTCAATTGTGGAAAAAGCCAAGTATGTACACACTTGGCTGCTTCAAAATACACCTCTAATCGTCCAGGCTGCGTCAGCTTACGCATATCAAAATGTGGCTTATACAATTATATTCTATTTAATAAGCTTGCAGTGTTTGCCTTAATACCTATGTTAGCAGATGTTCCAGCTGCGAAAGGGTAAATTGCAATGCTGGTAAGAAGCAAAAGCGGATGCAGTCAACTTAGTAACCCAACTCAAGTGAAAAACAAACAAACCAAAGATCTAAGACAAGTTGAGCAGACACCTAAGGAGAAATCCAGGTAGCAGCCAGCTTGGTTAGAGATTTTGGAATAGATTTACAGGAGTTCATTTTGAAGACTCTGGTACACTGGGAAAAATAAACCTAAAAGTCTGAAGAAGACAGGTAGTGCATCCTCGAAAGTGTCTGTGTTTGGAGCAGGGTAGAGAAAACGCCTAACCATAGTGCTGCCATTCAACATTTCCACTGCTAAGTATTTCTTGATAGGTAGTGAGAGGAAGCAATGGAGGCAAACATTACAGAGAGGTCTAAATATTAGCAATACAACTGTTTCACAAA